TTTATATTCACTTATAACTCACTCCTAAGTTACCGGGTGTGCTCTCCCGTGCCTTCCAGCCGGATCTCACTTTCGAAGCCAAGTTCTCCCGGACGCGGCTGCTGGCCTCACAGGGTCGGTGTGATCTTCGATTCAAGGGACTGAAGAGGCCTAAGGGGTGCCTCTGCTTGGCAGTCTTCAAGATCCGCGCGCATTTCGGTCAGCTTCCCTTTCAGGCAGTCCTCAGGGCGGCCCAATCTTCGGGAGATCAGGGATCCAAACAGCTCGGCACCCGAGCTGGACGAGGGAAACATCACGGCTCCTCTGCTTGCCGCTCGACACTCGCCATGTCTACCGGCCCCTTAAACGCTCAATGTCATCTCATTTCGCCTTAAAGAAGAACGCCTGCTGCCTAAGGTGCACACGAATTATGTCAAATCTTATGTCTCATCGAACCGCAAAGAGTCCAGGGCCCACCGGTTCTGCTGCAGGTTTTCGCGTAGCTGCGCCTGCAGGTGGAATCGAAGCGTGAAAATGATGCCCACAGAGTCCACGACGTGTTGCTTTGACATTGCGCAGCGGTCTAGTCAGTTGGATCGGCCAGAGGTTAGAACATGCATTGCTTATCTTGGCGGCAGGCACGCAGTCTCTTCCGACTTGCGACGGCGACGCCGCTTCATCGTGAATCCGGTTTGAGTGAGCAGGCGCCCATGCTGGTCATCTGGCACTGCATTTCATGCGCATCGGCATAGTCGTCCTTTTTGCAAAATGCGCCACTCCGCCCCCTCCAAACCCCGGCATCTTGACACATCCAACTTCAGTTTATCTTGTCAACAGGGGTGCGCAAGCAACTGGCTACCTGAGTACATGTCGTGGTGCCCAACGTGCTTCTCCAACCGCAGCCGTGCGCAAACCTCAAGCCTGGACTTGGCGACCTCGAACACTCAAAGCTAAAAAAGCACGACGAAAGCTGAAAGCTAAACCGGGCTCAACACGGCACCTCGGGCTCTGCTTTGTTTTTCTCGATTTCGTCTTCCATCCACCTCAGGACAAGCCGACAAACATATGCTAACTTTGAACAGATTGCACAACTCGGTAACGGACATCGGTCCACGCGGCATGCTGGGCTACGCGGGCATGTTGAAGGCGGACTAGCTACTTTCTCAGCTGCAAAGCGAGCAGCAACAGTCCATTTCCTCCAGGCTTGTACACATCTTTGCTTACTCTAGTTTGTTGTCTTCGGGGCTTTGTTTCGTATCCGGGTTGTCTTCTTATGCACTGTACGGTTGGTTGCTGTTGTTGTGCGCCACGCGTGCTGCATCACGGTGTTGCCTGTCAGCTCGCGACTGAGCGATTTCGTCTTTTTGTCAACTCGATTCTGTTCTCAGTGCTTGCGCTGTGTCTATGTCAATGTAAATACACAAATACACATACCGTCATCGGCTGAAAATTCTTCGTTTCAACAGCACCAACAGCTGCAGCAACAGCAACAGCAACAACGACAAACAAACAACAACACTACCTTAGCAGCTGTCTACTCACATGTGCATGACAAGGCTTCTGGGCACTGCCACCTTTTGCGCGCCAGACCCGTGCGGCCTGGCGGAATAAGTGCCCAAGACAACTGACAAACGCCTCCAGTAGTAGTATTATATTAGTTGGCCACCCGAGCTTTCGGAAGTCTCGGCGCCGGGCGCCGCAGTAGTTCCTAGTGCGGAGCTTTCGATCGAATTTCCGGCCGAACACCCTGCAAACCCTCCTGGTTTCATGTCCACGGAGCTTCCTCTCATTCGCGTAGTCCTCGATCTGATTCTGCATGTGGGTCACGAGCGTCTCCTGTTCGGAGTTTGGCGCTGGAACCTCCAACTTCTTGAGTACCACCCTCACCAAGTACACACGGAGGCGCTTGCAGCTGAGAACGGAGTGTTCGAGGTATCAGGCCCAGGGGTCTGACCCTGACAGCATAGCTGGATTCCTGGATACCTCGTCGCGGTAACCAGTCCTGGTACGAGTAGAGCATTCTCCACTTCTCGTTGTCAGACTCCAGAAGCTTCAGCTGTGCCTGATGAGTCACCTGAGGTTTTCAGCCAGAGCCAACCCGGTCATCCGAAGACAGCAATAGTTTCGATGTCGACATGCCGGCAGCTTTTCGTGAAAATGAGCTCCAGTCTCAGCCTGTCTGGGCCCTGTGGTCGACCCCTCCCGAAACGCCCTCCAAGCCACGACGCACATGATATAGCAGCAGGTACCAGTGCACACCCACAAGGACACACCGAAATAAACAGTCAAAGGAGCAATGGAACACTCCCATCCCCTGCACGCACAAGGGAACACCCCCCCCACCCGGCACGTGTGCACTGGTGCGTAAACTTCTTGTCTCTCTTGATCCTGGGCTTGGTACCAGCAGTTGGCTCTGCAGCTGATGCAGCTCCTTCAGCGACGTGTTCTCGCTTCGAAGGCTGTCCTTGCAGACGCAGTTTAGATAGGGTCTCGTTACTGCAGATCTTTGTCTGATGGGGTGCTTGGGTGGTCTGATCACGCCGTGAAGAAACCCGCGAGATTGCAGTTGAACCTTGCGCACTCGATACAACCAGTCCGAGCTTCCAGAGTGTCAGCTCCCTCACTGATGGTGATGCTGCGCGGGTCGCTGTGGCCACTTTCCTTGCACAAGACGCTGTAGATGCCCGAGAAGCACACCACAGTTAAGCCGATCGATAAGCTACCGGATCAGTGCCCCTTCTGCTACCAAACCGCGCGGATGCCGCCAGGGTGCGCTCAGATCGTCTCCGCTCACATCATCTGTGGCGCTTGTAACGCTAGGACCACACTCCTGCCGCTGCTAGGGTTGAATAGATCGATTCGCAGGCAGGAGGAGCAAACAACGTTTTGACACTCCTACTAAGCTGCCTCTGTTCTGATTGGTGCGAGTCACTCTGTATGTGCAGTCCCAGCCCAGTCCTTCTCGGAATCGGCAGCCTCGGCGCCTGCAGAGACTAACTATAACTACTACAGTAGCTATCTGCCACCGAGAACCACTCTCTTGATGCATCCTTCTCATGATCCGTGAAACCGCGGGGCCCTACTTAGTAGCGCAATACAGACCGCAACAGGCCGACAGTGCCAATAATTGCGCCGTGCTTTGTCCAACATCGATTCAGGTCGTTAGCGCCGCAGTGACAGCGACCGAATGTTTTTGTCCTCTCCGCAGACGCCTTTGTTGGCCCCATGTCGAACCTGTAGGATCCTAGATTCGCGAAGTGTTCGGCAACCTGCACGAAAACTGCAAACCGAGCCTTCGTCACAAAAAGCGGGCGCGGCAGGCTCATCAAGAACGTGGTCTGCAACAAGCGTCACCTGCACAAGTTAAACCTTCAGCGAACAGGCTGAGCAGTGTCTCTCCAAATTTGTGTTGGACTTTCGAAACCGATCTGCAGCCATGTAAGGCTTAAGACAAGGTGCCGGCAGGAGCCTGAGAAGAGTTGAGGCCCGAGGCTTTAGGCTGTTGCTGGTTTCTGGCTGCCAGGCAAGGTTGAGACTCTCGTAGCTCCGACAATCCACACACGGCTGGCAGTCGGACGAGGGATGTTCTTGACATTGAGTCATGTGAATGATACAGAGGATTCCCACTACACTTCACCATCGAGAAGCCACGCAGGTCCGCTTTAACTTAGGGTCTGTCATGTCAAGCATCAGCTCCAGCGATTTCGGAGTTGCTTCAAGATGCAGAATTTCATGTATAGTGTTATTGGGAATAGCAGCTTCAGACTTCGACAACAGCTGATCACGTGTCGGATTGATGTCTTTCTGGAGCCCAACATGGCAGGTGGCCAAAGCTGGGAGCTGGGCGTGGAAGGGTGAGCCACTTAAGCCAAAGTGCATTCATGTCGCTTTGGTGCGACAGCACTGCAAGGGTCTGCACACAACAGGGTTAGGCTTGTTCACATCAGGGCTTCGCAACTGCAATGTCTCTACAAGCACGAAACAGGAAAGACTCGGAACCGTTCCCATCTCGCCTCGACGGCCTCCTTGGTTTCGGTTACCGGCGCTACCGGGAGCCGATGGAAGAGCCTGCTTTCCGGCAGCACATCCGCACAAAGCTTCTTGCTGAAGCCCCGTATATCAACGTGCCCCAAGTCCCTTGAAAGAGAAATGCATCGGTGGCCGGTTCACAACAACCACAAGTCCAAACTCCGTCAAAAAGTTCTGTGCGCTCCTGGCTGGTTGCCGAAATGACCGTGCAACTTAGCCAATCAGCCAAAGGTCGGCCTTCAATTTCAATCTTCAGCCCGGTAGCCAAACGAAACAGTCAAGCAAGCAGACGGAACACGCAATTAACACCCAGAGATCTTCGTGCAACTTCGCGGGAATGTGACGCCAACCCCACAGAAAGGTTCGTGCATATGTAAAACAAGCTTCTGCACTGACAGGTTCGGAAGACTGGACAGGGGGCCACTAAGAATGCAAATAGCTAGTCTCGTTGCGCGGCACGGCCCGATCGCAAAGGTCTCCCTACAGTATCTCGTTCTGCCGCCTGAGGAGGCCGGAAGCAGACCAAAGATGCAGTCCCTGGCAGCAGTCCATGGCGATGGGATGATGGGATGAGTGCTTTCGCACGGACTCTTGGACCCGGGCAGACGGCAACGCTCGCCGCTCGAAGAGTGACTCACAGATTAGGCTGCAGATTATGTTATTGAAACTAGGCATCTCGGCTGCAAAGGATGTTCCAATCTAGCGCCTGCCCGGGTGCGTGTGTTTAGCAGTTGGCTAGTACACACACGCTCCAAGAAGTAAAGGTAGAGCCAAGAGACTGCGGCAACTCGCGTCTCAAATGTGCGTCAATGTCTCCTCCTTCTCATTATAGTTTTGTAAGCGCCAGCCCACCTCAGCCATGGACATGGCGGCTCTGTCGGAACCATGAACTATCACGTTACAGATGCCCGTGTTGCAAAAACCATCCCCATCCCCCGAGCGCCCGAACCGGTCTCTGATCCTGGCGCAGTGCCATTCACAGTTTCTGAGGCCTCGGAGGCCACGTCGTCACTGGAGAGCGTGGCGGTGTGGTTGCTGCCGATGTGGTGCCTGTGTTCTCCAGTGAACTACTTGGGCACGGAAGCCGCATTGCGGACTGCAGCGCTGGGTGTCTCGCGTTTGACCGAGGCGTTTCGCTATTTCAGCTCCGTCTGTGTATATGCCTGGACTGGGTTGAGACCTTGTAGCAAAGCAACCCCACAGCATCGCAGCTGTGGGGAGAAGTTCAATGTCCCACCCCTCGATCAGCAAAGCATCGCCAAAGCACCCCCCCGCTCCTTCTGCACTTCCACAAACTGTCTGCTAAACGTCGCGTGAGACTTTGGGGTTCCGCGCTGGGCAGCGGCGCTCGAAGAAGGCGCACGCCAACCGGCAGCTGAAGCCCAAGGCCAGGTGTCAGCCTCGGCATGCGTCGTGCCTGCATGCCTGTGCTTGTGCTGCTGCCGGTCTATGTGCAAATCTGCCAGACCCAGACAGGCGTACGAGCCGAGTGCTGTTTTGCTCTGTGCTGCTGCGATGGCAACGGTTGCCTACAGTAGGGTTGCACATCGGGGAAACATCACCAGCGAGCATGGAAGAAGATTGAAACTGTTTCGATGCAGCAATGCAGAATTTCCCACGCAAGCTAGCACGGACTTTCGCATCCGATGTGCCTCTGCGGCATTAGGGTGCCAACACTGCCAGCTTTGTTCGAATATCCATAGGCTATCAGAGGCTTGAAGAAAGACTCAGGCCACTCAATTAGAACCTGGATCTGCCGCTCCTTGTTTTGGCATGCTTCCCACCATCCCCTTTTGCCACCAATCCCATCGTCTTGTGCCTTCGTAAGCCATCCTGAGTGACGAGGGCATCTCTGAACAACCGCACGGATATCCCTGCAGGGGGTCCGGGCACTGGTGCAGGCGCCGGGCTGACGGAGCGTATCACCGGGGCAGACGTCGTCGTGGGTGTTGGGCGCCTGGCCGCTCGCAGAGGAAGGCTTAGGCGTCTCGTGCACTGCCCTCAGCTGAAGTGCGGGAATCTCCCACTGTGTAGTCTGTGTAGTGCCTGTTTAGGAGTTTAGGACATGACTGGACGAAGCTCCCGACGCTTGGCCGACTTGACACCGGCGGCTTCACGATCAGAGGGTGACTATTTGCCTGCCCTTTCATGGACCGGCCGTGAAATTTCATGTCCTGTCCCGATTCCGTGCCTTCGTACGCAGAGGATGAAGGGTGAGGATGATGAGGATGAGGCTAAACCCCCCATCTCGATAGCACAAGGGGACCACAAGATTTACGCTTCAAGTCCATGAGTAGGCCAAGCCAGGCCAGCGACACGAATCGTGTACAAACAGAATGTGAAACAGACGTCACATGTTCCACTCCCGTGCTGCAAGCACAGCTACAACGAGACATGAGGCTCTGCTCTTCGAAACGTGCAGTGAACCCGCCAACCTCAAAGGCTCTCTGGTCGGCACCTGCTTGAGGACGGAGAAGATGTCAAGGAGACAGAGTTTTCCGGGCTGGGTCTTGGATCCCCACACCTCTATCGTCTATAGCTGGCAGTTTCCAGTGAACCTGCTTGCTGCATGCACAGAGACCTAATTGCGCCCATGCTGACATCTATCCCAAAGCTACGACAAACTGCCCCAACAATTGCCATCGACTAGCTGGCAGAGCTGGCTTTGAGATATCAACCGTTCTGTTGCCTGCCGCTGGGCAGCAGCATCTGCAGCAGCGATCGAAACAACGCCTGACGCAAGGCAACCAGCTCCTAACCCCAAAGACTTCGACGAGACTTTCTTGTCACCCAAACATCTGGAAGCAAATGCACCACGACATGTCCAGTTTAGAAGCTTGAGGGAAGACTGATTGCAAGCGGGTTTCTAGACTGTTCGAAACGGCACGCCTCTCAGGGATTAGCGGAAGCGAGCAACTGCAGGACCTCTCGAAGGAGCCGACGGCGAGAACGATGGCTCCACTCTGACCTGGGGAGCACGGACGAACGACTGCCAACGCTAGCGATGCCTCTAGAGAGTCTCTAGAGCAGCTTTGCTCGAGAAGGCATATGTCCTCCTACAGATGCCGGATGATCGCTAGGTTGTTTCAAAAGAAGCTATAGCAAAGAGTGACTGCTTCAGGGCATCCTGCGGTGTCGGACTGAGAGGTCACGTTTCGGATCTGGCTTGCTCTCCCTGCCAAAGTCTGCTTCTCTAGGCTAATGAGAGTGTCAGCTCAGCTGTGCACGTCTGGAGCATCTGTACATCATGAAACCTCCCCAAACGGAAGCCGACAAAACCAGCGCCTCTCGATGCTTGGCCAAAGCAACACCAGGTACTCTGACACTCATTCTGCCAGTGGTCGATGCTTCGAACTTTTTCAAAACTTTCTCACCTTATCCCTTTACGTTCACCGGGCCGCAAGCTTCCCAAGAGGCAGCGGATCTGCTACTGTGTCTCTCAGCAGCAACTCTCTGATTTTCAGGGAGGAAGCTTCAAATTGAGACGCGCTCTCCTTCAATGCTCCGGGAGTTCTTTCAATGACTGAATCCCCTTCTTTCGATCCTCTCACTCGACCGGGTATTGACGGGAGCTCGCTGAAACGGGAATGCTGAGAAGAGGCCCCTGACGAAGCGTGGAACCTCCGGTGCGGCATGTGGCATCTTGCAATTCCCAGCATCTACGTGACTCCCAACACGACTTCCCAGCAACAAGCTCCCAAGTAATAAGTGACTCTCAGCTGCTCCTATCCGCTCGGAGTCGGGGGCTACTCCTCTTCAAATGCACGTGGTTGCAACGAGGTGCTCGACGACAGGCACGCAACAAGGTTCTCAGTCGAACTCCAACTGCTGCATGGCCGTTGCGACGTTGAGCTTTGCCCTCCAGTGATCAAGCTTGGTATCCCGGCAAACGCTCGAGTCTGTTGAAACTTCGAACACCGAAACTCAGCCCGAAACCTCTGCATGAGTAGTCGGGTATAATCGGGCTGATCTGGGAGTCGGGATGGTGTTGGCACTGATATTGGCAATAATTGCACGCTTGGTGGTGACCAGCCTGACATCAGGACTTCAATTCAAACAATTGTTGCAGAACCTGCCAAGGCTGTGGTCGAGTGACAGTGCGATGCTGCGCATAGCACTGCTCTCGTGCACATGGAAGAACTGCGGCTGTCATCTACCATGCATGCATGTACGAGTGCGATCTGCTACATGCTCGTCCGCCCAAGGATTACACAGAGGCTGACGAGAAGCAATGCAAAGGTCGGACGTGCCTGTGGGGGCTTCGAGCATAATCGGAGTGGAGGTCACACGATCTCTTCTAACGTCAGTCGCTGGGGCCAAACGTATTATTGGACCATACGAAAACCAGTCTGCAAGACCGCTGTTGGTCCGTTCCTTCTCAGAACACCTGTGCACAAGTCCATGGGTCTCTGCCGTAGCCATGCTTCAATGTACTCTGATGTACATACTGGCAGGTGGTGAGCGTGTCGAGCTCACGATCAGCGGTCTGGTTCAGCGGAATGTTGCAGTTTAGCAAATGAAGGCTTCCGGGTCTTCCAGGGTCACTGCATATGTAAGCATGAAAACCAGTATCGTCAAAAGCAGAGCCGCCGATAGCACACTTGGCGTCAGGTTGCCGCCCAAGAAATTTCGAAACAGGTGTTCGCGGAACGCGAGGCTTAAAATCATCCTTCTGGTCCAATCCCTGCAGGAGATCTGATCTGCTGGCTAAGCTTTGCCTACGTAGTAACATCCCACTGCGACGGCTCAGGCTCCTCTTGGTGAGTGGGATGCTTGGCAGCGGCGAAGTCTTGCACTACAATCGCCAATCCGTGCGCAACCAGACTGGGAAACCTCTGTCCAACAAATCTGCTCGTCTCTCAAGGTGTGTGTCCCCAGGTTCTCTTCCTCTTAGCCTTGGGACTGGACCGCTAAAGTGTGGAACAAGTTCCCTGTTGTCACGGGCCTTGGACTGGGTGGTGTAGGTCTGGTGAACCCAATCTCCATTACCTGAACCCAGACGAACCACAAACTCTATAAGGCCTACACCCACCAGGGACCGGACCCAATCACCTCACCCAGCGCACACTTCAAAAGGCTCTGTGTGCGAGCTGGGCATCAAAGGTGCTCCGAAGGCTCCATGTCAAAAGCTCCTGGCACGAGCATTGCGATTCTTCTCACGTGAACCACCCGCCAGTTCATGGTGGTTCACGCACGCCGCTTCGCTCCCAAACGTCATCTTGTCGTAAACACGTCCTGCCTTTAGCATTGCACCGAACACCAGCAGGACCCGCGGCACAAATCTTCCCAGTCTATGAACGATTATTGTTGCTTGAAGACTGCGTGGACGTGCCAGGGCCTCGTGTATCTCTGGCAGCACAGGTTTCACAAGGGGCCCTTTCCGGAACATGAGCATGTATCGCAAACTCATGAGTGACGAAATTTGTGTTCATGCTTCTGACTTGTTCGTACAATACTCAGTCCAGGGCGCTCTTCACGGTCGCTCAGGCCCGGATTTGATGCATCCTGGTGCCTATAGAGCTTTGAAGGCTTATGTAATGCAGCACCACAAACTCAAACCCTCGCCAAAACGGTAAACTACGCCTTGCAACCACCGAAAAAGCTCTATACATCTCGAAACTCGAACCCTTCATTCAATCCCTTCGTGTTCTCCTGCTGGGCTCGGGCTGCGCGTCGAGCCTCCGTCGCTGGGCGCGGACATCCTTGCAGTTGCCAGCTGGAGGATTTGTTTGACGACTTCCGGCTTTCCGCTCAGCGACACGGCCTGGAAATCTCTGCTGCCTGATACGCGTACTTGATTCTGGCCGAGATGCTTAGAAAAGACAGGCACCACCGCCTTGTCGCCTTGGAACTCGGTGCCGTAAGCTCTGGCACTCCTCCCTGCTCTTTCTTGGGCAAGAGTAGGTGTAACATACCGGACAATTGACCAGCCATCGCCCAGCGGAGTCTAGAGAAACTTGAATGGAACGCAACAAAGAATACAAAATTGCTCCAAGGACTGAAGAAGTAGTCGCAGTGATCTGGAGGCGCCACAGCATACCTTGGGAGCTGTTGCTACGTGGCTGACGACTCCACTAGTTTTCTATCATCTGAAGTTGCTTCAAACCTTCTGCAAGTGGTCGGCATGTCTCTAGTGGTGCTTGCCATCCCGGGTGATCGACTGCCAGACCTCCGAATGCAGCCACAAGCACTTCTCGAACTTGACATCGACGTCATCCCTCTCGAAATCGATAGGGCTTACCTGTTCAAAAGCCCTCCACATGCTTTGGCGCGTCACGTGACCAGGACAACTAGAATGTGACATGTCCGAAAACGCAGGGGCTGGGCTGAATGCGTCATCACAGAATCCAATGTTGAAGTGTTGAATTTCCTCCCGTGGGTCGGGCTCGTTTGGCCAGATAACATCGGGCTTTTTGGGGTCTGGACGAGTCTATGCTCCAGTGTTTTGTGCTGTCTTGGCCAGACACCGAGGCTGCTGTCTTGTACTGCCTCGTGCCTTCACCTCGCAATGATCGACGGATCTGGCATGCAACAGGAATACAGACAAGAGAAGGACATGAAGGCATCTACTCGTCGTCGTCCCAACGACTTAATTGACAAGCAGCATGTGCTTCCACAAGTCCTTTTTGCAATGCCAAGTCGCCAAGTAGCCAGAAACTCGCGTACCGCTTCCTGAAGCGACTGTCCCTTCAAACAACAGCCCGAGCACTTCATTGCATCTGCTGGACTTCGCATTTTGCCACTGTTGGTCGACAACCAAAAGTCCCGGCAACGATGTGAAGCCAGTACTCCACAAAGTCTCCCCGTCGCTTGTTTGGCACTCGCTCTCGACAAGGCCGGCGGGGCTCCATGGGTGAAGCCTACAAGAGAACGCACTTCCGAGGAAGAGCAGAGCAACAGTGAGCAACTTTAGCCAACCCGCTGGTGCACCATCGCTTATGAGCTCTGGAGCCCGCGAGTCTGCAATCCGAGCTGCGCGAGTGAAACTGGAAAGCGAGGTTGAGAAACCTTGGTGAAAGGAATTCAATGAACCGCAGCTCTCATGCGACACATGCGCGGTGTAGCTGCTGACCTTGGTCGCATTTTCAGTAGCATCCGCAGCAATCCCCTCAAGCTCGAGAAGTGACACGCTGGACTTAACTTGCTTCTGGAAGACGCGTGAAAATGGCTTTGCGACTCGTCGTAGATGTCCTTGTACTGCTCGTTCGGGCAGTTCTGGAACATTTCCTTCCGCATAGATCATAAACATATGCCAACATGACGCCCCTCCACGATTGGCATGGCATTCGTGCTTCTGAACTAAGCCCGTTGGTTCGACTCCATCACGTCGGGAGTCTCACGTGCTCCGTCTCTCTTGCTTGCTTGCTTGATTGCACGGCGTTCAAGGCCAAGGAAAGGGGCCAAGAACCCCTCCCTCCCCCAGCACGCGAGCGGCACGCCGAGTGTCCGTGTCCGGTCTGTTGTGAAATGTTGTGAAACTTCGTGAACAACTCACGTGAGGTGTTCCAGGTCTTGATCCCCGACAGTTGACCCCTTGCAGAAAGACCTCCGAATGCCCGTGGCACTGTCGTGCCTGGAGCACCTCGTTTGTGTGCTGTTCTCAGCTTTGTTGAGCGCGCGGCTCACGCGTCCGAGGTTCTAAGACTCTGCGCATCATGGGCAGCACTCCGATTCGGTACACGAAAAGTGCAGACACCTATGCATGCGACAGTATCCTAGGTATTGCGACGGATCAGCTGCCTTGCTGTTGGTTGGTACATTTTTCGACGCCTGCGGGTCCCTCTCCGTCTCTTTGCTTTGCTTTGCTTTGCTTGGGCTCTCTCCCTCACTCTCCCTCTCTCGTTCGCTCTCGCTCGCTCTCTAAGCTACCCGTGAGGACATCGGCCCGAGAATGACAGGTGCAGTCTTGGATCCACCAAGCACGCATGAGCATGTTCCAACGACTGCAAGCACCTCAACCTAAAAACC